AAGCCCGAATTTGGCCGCTGTCGAAGCGAGAACCGAAGTTATGTGATGCAGCTCATCTGCGCTGTTTGCAAACAACACACAGTCGTCAGCAACATACGGATTGTTGTCTCACAGACTAGGGTTTTCGCACCAAAACGACGGATGTTCAGCAACCCACACGAACACAGTAAGCACAAGCCGCATCAAAAGCATATAACAACATGGCATGAAGATAAATATCAAACAGGGTGGGAGCAAAGACCCAGCCTTGCTTCACAACAGAGACAGCTGCAAAGTCATCCGATGTCTCTCCACTTAGCTGCACCCTCGCCTGCATACCACGGTGCACATTCAATTAAACGTACTCGGACAGTCAAACTTACCCAACACCAGCCCCAATGCCTCGCGGTTCACCGTACCAAATGCCTTGGTGAAATCAACAAACAGCGAGTACCACAGCTGATGTGGCTCTCTGCACTTCTCCTGCACCTAACGAGCTGCAAACATCATAGCTATAGTGCTGCGACTCGAACGGAATCCACATTGCTCTTCCGCCACGTTCGGTTCCACGACCTAACTGACGAGACGGTTAAGTAGCATTCAGGCAATCACCTTGCCCACACAACTCAGCAAGCTGATGCTACGATAATTCGTGAAATATTGCTTGTTACCTTTGCCCTTGTAGTAGTAGCACAAGGGCATCCTTCAGTTCAGGAGGCACCTCCTCCTGCACCAAGTGGTGCAGCGCAGTCACCAACATAGGTCAGTCGTATTTCAATACTTCAGGCGGGTTTTCGTCGGCACCAATATACTTGTTGTTTCAAATCTGAGCAAATGCTCTCTGCGTCTCATCCAATGTCCGTATGTCGACAAGACACCTTTTCACCACTTGTTGTTGCAGTCTTTGCAACACAGTCCCGTTGGCGGCGTTCGTCGTAGCATTCTATCTGCTTCGCCTTCTTCGTCCATCATTCATTTTTAATGCAACGGAGCTCTCGAGTCATTTGCCGTCGAATCCTGCGAATTTGACTCATCTTCCTCAAGTTACTGGAGTCTGCTACATGTGCAGCAATTGCTGCATTCTCCTCCGACAACAATGCGCCAATCGTCGCACTGTTCTCACAAAACTAATCGGGCCGCTTGCAGTTTGCGCGGCCGATGATCTCTTCGACAGCAGCTGTCACCTGGTTGCGAATCTTGCGCCACACGTCGCCCACTGTAGCTATGAATGCTACATCACACAGTCGTACAGCCATCGCCTCCTACTCCATCCTCTTCTCCAAAGATTCTATGGAAAGAACGTTATATTTTCGCCGGTTCACGGCAAGAATGCAATACATAAATTTACGAAAATATATGTACAGTTTGGTCCGCACCAATTTGTGATCAGTGCCACACTCAGCTCCACGCAGTACACGTGTCATGAGCACTTCACGCATGTCACGCTGACGTACGATGACATAGTCGAGCAGGTGAGCGTGACCACTCCGTGGGTGCGTCCAAGTTGCTATATCACTCGTACTCAGTGCAAACCGAGTGTTCATGATCGTCAGGCAGTGAGTAGCACACAGTGAGAGCACTGTCACCATTCGCATTCGCTGAACCAGTGCCATGCGGACCGATGACATCTGGCCACACCGATGCATCACGCCAAACGCGCGCGTTAAAATCACCCGGCAAAAATAGTCGGTCGCTCCTCGGCACAGACCGTATCACGGAGGATAACTGAGCGTAGAACTGATCACGCATGCCGTCAGGATAACACATGGACCGTACATGCTTATAAAAGTGGCAACCTTGCCTCTTCCAAGTTGTAGGCGAACAGTCACCAGTGGCGCGCTGATGCCAGTTGGTTTCCCCCACCAGCTGGCCATTTAGACGATTGGATAGTGCAAATCCGACCCCATATTCACGTGGTGCTGAGGTGGCGTTGCCCACTCAGTAGAACGTATAGTCGACATTAGCTTCATGCAATTTAGCTTGCTCAGCGAGCCGGGTCTCGCTGAGCGCCGCAATGTCGATGTTGTAGCGCGCCAGTTACATCGCGATCAGTGCTGTGTGTCGCTCGGGGTGCTCACTCGAGTTTCGATCCAGTAGTGTGCGCACGTTCCAACACCCGATGTTGTGTACCTCTCACGCAGGCATACAATTTCATTGGTAGGCAATCGCACGCGTGGTGGTGGTTGTGCTACGGAGGTTAGCTTGAGGGACTCCACCCGGAGCCTTTGGCTCAGTAGTCTGACCCACAATGCAGTGGGTGATCTAGAGGTTTGCTTGAGGGACTCTACCCAGAGCCTTTGGGTCAACGACCTGACAGTGGGTAGTATGCAAGTTTGACTTAATAGCCTGATCCACAAGGCAGTGGGGAGCAGATCCAGCTCGGGAATGTGATTACAGAGACAGACTTGGATCTGCTTGAGATCCGTCACACGCGGCCTTTTAGGTACCGGAACAATTCATATGTGTTTCACGGCTGCAGTAGGATACGCACTTGCGACCACGGCCAGACGTAGGTGGGTTTTGGCGGGTTTGCACCCATGTGACCAGACTGTCTGGCTTGAAGCGGGCAGTATCAATCCAGACGACGCGTAGTACCCATGCTCTACTCCAATCTACCTGTGAGCTTATAACTCGTGGACCTGTTGTCTCCCATGGCTGTTTTATAGGAAGAGGGCCATCGATCACTTCCTAACCTCCGAAGAGGATGGGGTTTGGAATAGGATACTGGCAGGGTGCCCACAGCTAAAAGAACGATTCGGGTCCTCAGCAAAAGCATTCGAATAAATGTACACCCGAAATATAGCGGGTCTAGCACAAGGTCAGTTTACTGACTCATGAGTATTGATGTGTCTTGGCTCTTAGCTAGAAGAAGGGCGTAGCCCAACTACCACCCAGCGGTCGCCACGAGGAGGCGTCCAGGACATGAGTCCACGGCACAACCTTAGCAGAAGTGGGTAGACCATCTGTCAAGGTCTTGTCACCACAAGCCCCAGCGCACCATAGGATTCCCGTCGCAAACATAAACAGTTAGATACGTAGAACAATTATCAAAACTAATCATGTTTCAATTAAGACTAAAGAGCTTCTGTGCACATAACACAGATAGATAGACCTTAATTGGCGACTAAGTTCGGCCTCTAACATTTTTCAGTTCACCTGTAGTTACGGTGACAGACAGAACTGGCTGTCGGTTAACTGAACATTTGCTTAAGTGGTTGGGACATGTGATGACGCAACAAAACGAAGCGGATCGGAGAGTGAGCGAGAGCCTGTCAGCATGTATCACAAAGCACCTCATGACAACTCGTCATCATGTGATTTTAGGGACCGCGTTCAAGGTGTTATTGCGCAACAAAAACCCGACAATCTTTGGAATCAGCGAAGCGTTGTTAATTAGGGCCCATCAACCTAGCACATAAACACTTGTGGAGATCAGTTCGGTTGCCGTTGGCCTTGATTATGAAATTTTGTTTGGTGTTAATAATTGTTCCGTGTACATAACCGTGTGTGTTCTGCCTGTATTGTGTTTGCGACTGCCGAAAAGGATCGAAACGTTGACCTATCGCAACCTATGTCTTCTCTCTACTTTGACAAGATGCGTTCCTTACCATCCGGTCAACCTTTTCAATAAGAACGTGTAAAACAGAGTTGTCTGTGTAATGAAGCTGATTTGGTAGCAGTGTATCTGTTTTGTCGACGTCACCGCCCCTTCATCACGACGGGTAACCCCATGGTGTCCACGAGGTTTAGGCATCGTAGCCCCGAATATATTCGCGTAACATGTCTGTCTTGTGTTTGGCCTTCTTAACTGGCCAGTTTTGTTCTTTTTGCATAGAGTGGCGTCTCCGTATTTAGGACCGTGATGGAAACTTATTGTTTGCGAGTCGGTGGCGCCCATGTCCATCTTCGCCCTACACCGAATCGCTAGAGTAAGATCTTGACTTCAGGATTGTTACGTGGGCCGCGCACATCCTTACTTACTTCATACGCGCATCTACCATATTTGGGTAACAAGTGCAAATGATCAAGTTCGGCGCTCCCACATCTTTGCCTTAACAAGCGAAGCTGCTAATAGGTAAGTTAACATCACCCTGCCCTATTCGTCCGCTGTCCAGCGAATCCAATGTGTATGAGTGATTGTTTACTGAATCAACACGAGAAAAAAGGTATCGGTAAGTTGTATTCCCAATCTTAAGTAAATAGAGGAGCGATTTGGCGGAAGAGTGCTTGTGTTGAATGATCGTTTATTTGATCTTCCTAGCTTTGCGTACTGTTGATGTTTTAAGCGATTATTGTGTCCTAGTCTAACTTCGGGTTGTAAATAAATCCTGAACTGTTTTTTTCAGTTTCATATTCAGCCTGTTCGCCGCGTACTACCTACAGCAACTCGGCCGGGATCTCTACGGGACAGCTAAACAGCCTGGTCTCGCTCCGCTTCAGCAGAAGAAGAGAAAAAATTGACGAGCTTCCTTGCGTTTGCCACTCAGTCTTTCGTGCAAAATTACATTTTGAACAGGGTCTTCCTTTTTTTCTCTGTACGCGGGCACTTAGCAAGTTGACAGATCAAGAAATTCTAGCTTGTCTAGTACCCGATGATCTCATGCGAGCTTCACTACCACGTGTTGATTCGTCCCGGCCTGATAATTATCATATATGCTAATCCACAGCATGTCATAGTGTATGTATACTCTTGGATATTTCGGCTGCATCACGTGGGAGCCCCTTACTGACTTTGGCATCGGCTAACCGGTCAAACAATCGTGTTACGAGCCTTTTAGTCATGCAGCCCAGAAAGTTGGCTAGACTGATGCGGTAGTCATGGATTGCTTCCCGCGCGCGGGGATGGCGGGACTGGTTGATTCCTATCCATGTCTCCTTCTCACCAATGTAAGAGATGGTACTGGTTGATCAGAATTTCTGGACGTTGCAATGACTCAGGCGAATTAAGTGCCGATGAAAAAACCGTAATGATTGACGCGCACGTGACGTAATCGAGTGAGAACGAGATCCAGAAGATTGTGGAACGAGGTATCAAAAAATCGATCAACAATAATAATAATCATACAAAGGAGCGTCGTCGTGTGAATTTGGGTAGTTAATATCTAGTTTTGTGAGTAGCCAGTTACGCATAGCATACAGGTTGGAATAAAAGATGCTATAGAACGGGATCAAAAGCGACACCGAGACTCTCGATGCTGCATTCATCTGAACCACGCAGAATGCGGAAGTAGCCATCCTCTCCCCACGAGGGGCCCCAACTGTTTTTGACGATCCAGTAAGGCAGTTTGAGCTTTTTGTCGAAGCCATAACCCACCAGCATTACAGCATGATTGGTCATCTCAAATGGGTCAAAGCGAGTGAGCGGGTTCTGAAAAGGAGAGCAAAGCAGAAGAGATTGCGGACGCAAGAGAATGCGACCATGCTAGTTATGTCTAGAAGGAACAACAGCAAGTGTGGTGGCTCAAGGTGAATACCCAGAAACAAAATCATCAATGCATGGTCGTCAGTTAATAGAAATTCTGTCCCTCGGATAGATCACTACTAGTTTTGGCCGATGCATCACACCACATGTGGCTGTACACGGCTGACCGAAATTTGCCGCTAGCATAGAAAGCAAAGTATATCAACAAGCCATATGCATGAGCATCTTGCGAACTAGCGCCATAGACTCGCAGCTTTGATTCGTCATATGACCGACGCACACACACTCACTATCCAGGAACCATGTAATGTCCTCCGATGCATGTCTGTCTCTTTAAGCGCAGATGTGGACTGCTTGCGTACTGTGGTCTCCACTGATTGTTGAGTATGCCAGTCCAATGGACTCAATAATTCAATGAATGCACTTTTCATAGAGAATGTGATGTGTTTGCAGGAGGAGGGCCTCTCAGAAGAAGAGGTTCACTATGTGGCATGTTGTTGTTTGTGCGTATGTGGTCTGCAGCCAATGGCGAACATGCAGTCAATAGCGAAGCAAAATGCGCGTGGTGCATAGAGTCCAGGATTTACTAACGACGAACATCAAAAATGTGATGTACGAGTCTTATTGAGTCCGGGAGCGAAACGTTCTCAAACTTTTCAATGAGTCTACGAGACATTCTAACAATAATTGCAATTTATTTATTCGCAATCAAAGCAGCAGTGTTTCCTTGTGAAACGCACAGCCAACTCCGGTGTTATCCTCGATGACATCGAAAATCCTGGTGCTGAGCAAAGAAACCACATGCAAATCATAGTTGGTACTCTCAAACACTACATATGTGGAGAATTAGAGAATGCGGGGCTGTTTAGCGAAATACAGCGGAACGTCGACAACATTCTGGAGGCGACAGATGTGACGTCTTTTAGTCCTAAGGAAGCCCAAAGCGAGGATTCCATTGGGACATCCACCGTTACACTCTATCTTCGGAAATGACAGCGAGATGGGCGAGCCGTTGTTATCTCGCCCGAATCTAATGAATTCATTTTAGGTGCAGACGCGCATACTGAGTAAATGCGGTGAATCGCAAGCACATCAACTAGTGCGTTTCTCCTAATCATTCGTGAGCAAACTATACGAATAGTGAATTTCACAGCTCGAGACCTTTGGAGTATAATAAGCCAGGTGTTTCGCCACCAACAGTGTGAACCTCACTCACTTTCAATGTCGTATGAGAGTATACACCCGACCTATAGTGGATGAAGTCATCGTAGACCTCAAACCCGACAGGGAACGGGCCATTGGTGACCAATTCCAGCTTCATCAAATGTTCCGAGCACGCGCCGTAGTAGCCACCGAGGTAGTGGTAATTGGTTGCATAGTAGCGAGAGCAGTTGCGCTTGGTCGGACAGATGTCAGACTTGACGCCCGTGTACGGGTTACACGACTCTTCCGGAATGCCATAGTCCTCTGCATACTTTCCAACAATGAGATAGGGGAAACCACCATCGCACCCTGGAGAAGCAATAGAGAGCAGAAATAGTTGGGTTTTTGCGATGACAGAAAATGGTAAAACTGCTTGACATTATACAGTCAAGGGACCGACAAAAAGTGGTCGCCATGGACAGGTTCGTGCATAGGGACACTACTCATAGGAGAAAACGTTGGGGATGTTTCTGGCCGGTCGCCGTAGCAAGTTGGATTGTACATACATACGTAAAAAGAAACCGAACTCTTGAAGTAACGCGCCAACAGTCAGAGCGAAACGCCGCAAGTGTCAATTTATTGTCTAAACGTGTTCCACATCGGAAACATCTTAGACGGCACCTGCAGTATGCATGTCAGTTAGTTGCGTATGAAAGCGCCAATGGTTGTTAGACCGAAAAATGACATAGACACCAGCAATTTTCACTGCAATGGCACAGAACAAAGAGCGCAATCCGTCAAACATTAAGAGCATGGAATGGTCTCCACGGAAGCCATCGGACTTGGTGAACTGCTGTACATGTGACATAACTCATGTATGGTGGAAATATCACGTAGCGGTGAGGAAACACAGCGGTTTACTATCGAACAGAATGGTAAATTTCTACAGTGATCTGTTCAGTCATATCGATTTGTACCGTTCGCGTGTGACTTGTGCCGATCAATTAAGGCGTCTGGCTTGCAATCCACAGGTCGATGGTTCAAGTCCGCATAGGTGAGGGCAACCTTGAAGTATCCCGCACGCGACTTATAGTGATCGCGTGGCGTCCTTGCAGCGTGCTATTGATGCCTTCTTTCGCCCTGCACACAATGAGCACTGATACATCGGCCGACAGATGAAACAATGCAGGAAGTGAAAGCATGCATCCACATGTATGCATTACCAAAAGGCTAACGAATAGACATGGAGCCATGAAAATCACATGTTTAATCTACACTGCATCAGTATGGCACATTAGCTGAAGGTGGGCAACACACTTCGGCTACCACGCCGCAAGAAGTTAACTGTTTTTGTCATTATTTCACACGCGATTTTTCTTTTTTTGTCTTTTCCAGTTTTTAAGCATTAGGGAGCTGAATCTAAGCAAGTACCTACACAGATCTTCCACTGGTTTCGGTTGCTAGCTATATCCTGAATAGTTTCCAGCCATCAGCACTCTTCGTCCCCTGGTCCCTAACTAGGCAGACGTGTGGATGCAACGGCAGCAAGACGTAAAGGCAACGATTTCATATGCTGTCGCCAAGTGAACGGCGACATTTACTTCATTGAATCGTGGATAGTTGGAATAGTGATGACTGGTAGTTCGTGAAAGTATGACGCGCGCCATTCGAAATGGTGGCGTTGGTTTCTCGGATTTGATTCCAATATTTCCACATTTCCTTGCCAAAATAGGTCATGTCGTTAACAAGAGAAAGATGTTTATATTTCGGGTACTGTGGTGATTCACTTATCAATCTCTCCTTCCAGTAGTTATGTGGGTTGCATCACGGTTATCCGGCTGCGTGCAGCTTTGTGACGAAGCACACCTATATGATCCGAGCCTATTCATATTTTTACACACATTCAATATCCGCTCAGTTAATTTAGTGTGTTTCACAATGAAACAATCTGCGAGTGGCACCTTTCGAAAGTAAGGAAAGGTATCATATTCGTAAACTTCTCTGTCCTGACTAGGTCCTTTGTAGAGAAAACATTGCGTCTCGCAAACCCCATCCATAAACAACTGCGGTCACCCTTTCACTAGACAACAATATTGGAAGCCCGTAATGTACATATATTAAGAATAAAAAAGATAAAAAATGATAGGTCAATTAGTTGTCTTACTTTTAATATGGAAGTCATACATAATACAAGTTAAGCAGGCGGGCGAATTTAATCGTGGGGGATACGGCTTCAAAGTATCCTACCTTCAGAGTATGGACTGCAGTCCACCACATCCTGCGGGGAGAGGATCGGTAATCGTGTGAAATTGCTCCAAATACGGACTCGAGCTTCCAGAGCGGCTGCCGATGCGAAGGCATAGCAGCTACCACAGGACGACTGATCTCGCACGGGGGTGATCGGACTCGGTTGACCTCCGGAAGGATAGCGCCAATCGAATTCTTCGGGTAGGTGGTCAATAGCTTGCAGCAACTCGGGAGATGAAGTTGGCTGTTTGAGTTTCAAAGGTCTGGACAAAATGAGACATACGTAATGCTGTTTTCGCCACTGGTAAGGTGACATGAGAAATTTTGGCCAAATTCAACTGCAAATAACACTATACTGAAAAGTAAACAAATTGATTTTGTGAGGTATAACAAGATGAAAGGGAGACAAGGTTGTCAAATTCAGCCGTTAGGCGTAAGCTGAAATAAAGTTCTCCGAGCGGTCGAATCAAATAGTTTTAAGGATATGTAGTCTCTTGATAATGTCCGCGAGTCTGTGTATTGTGTCAATCTTAGACGTCCACTGTGACGGAGCACCCGTGATTAGAAAATATCAACACAACGGTTTAATCAAAAGCACGCGAGCTACTTACTTCCAGTCGGACATCGCTTGATCTGTGTGAGCACAGCGTAGAGAGATAGATTCAAAACAGTCTCCATCTACTGTTGGTGAACACAAGTCGAGAAAACAAGACGGCTGGTAACGAACAAACCGATTCTGGACCGGCGCATGCAACACGTGCTCAATGCATAACGCATTCTTGTGAAGAATATATCTTACTGGGGTAATGTGTTTGTTCTCCACGATGAACGATCAAGCGGAATTGATCGACTAAATCGTTTCACGTGGCTCTGGTGGGTGGTTTTACTGATACGACTCGTTGAACGTAACCGTTCAAGTGCGCAATACTAGCTTAGAAATTAGTTGTAATCTCGGAAACGTCTGTATGCGTAGTGCTGGCGGTCGTGACCAAACTCTAAGAAGGTATGTAGTTAACAGCGGCAGAGACCGATTTGAAATGGCTAGTCGAAATGAGCAGTAAATCAGCTGGTGAGCATATTCTTAGCCCAGGATTTGGACGACGATGACTTGTTTCTCGGAACTGGGAAATTCGTCCGCAAACGTTTCATTACTAAGCTAAACTGCATCAGCAGTGCAAATGTAAGGGAGTGAGGCTGGTACTTGAGGTTCGAATGCAACCAGGCTGAGAGTCATGCAAGTAATCCGTCTTAGATCATTGGAGCAAAGCGGGCGATTAGCTAGTTAACCCCCTATCCTCAAAACAACGATGGACGTGGAAACCAGACCGTGACGTCTGGCCGGCAGTAAAGGCAAAGCGGGCGCAAGTCATTTTCATGAAGGTTGCACCGGTTATGTTGCCCAGTCAAATAACTAGAAATCTGCAAAAAAACCCACCAGTTTGGAGAGCAATCCAACATTCCCATTGGAAATAAAGCTCAGAGAGACCGGGAATACAAAATCCTACTCGGAAGAAGATTTGATTGTGACCGGGTTCATAGACGCTACCAGAAACCGCTGAAGTGGCGTCAGAGAAAGATAGCAAAGTTCGCTAAATTAAGTAAAACTGTTGCATGGACTCAGCAGTGATATATATATATATATATATATATATATATATATATATATATATATATATATATATATATATATAATCAGCAGTCTATAAAATAGAGCCAGCAGTGAAGTAAACAATAGACCAGGAAGCATTACCGTCAACCTCGGTCCGAATACCGAACTGGTAGTGGGCCTCGTTGTGATGCGTGGTGCATTGGAGTCCAGGCTGAAAGTTCAAGTTCTCGCTCCTTAACCTGTATGGACTTCCTGACCGCACATAACAGGCCGCGTAGTGTCGCTTGCGAAGTGTTGATACAGAGCTACCACTATCACTTCGTTGTGGCGGTGCAGATCTAGTAAACACAGTTGCACCATCGTGTGAGATTGCCGGCCCACAAATGCTATGGTTCGTAGATCTATGCTTGGCAGAGTGATGGTGCACGTCGGGATGCTTTCACGGACGGATGAGAACATACACAACACCGGATTGTTTAACATCACTACATGGTGCATAGTTACCGATTCATACCGAATGCAGTGGCTGAAAACGGTGACTCCAACATTACAGTTTAGTCCCCTATCGGAGGTGTAAACATCCGTTAGAGCCGGGATCAACCGCATCAGAGTGTGACATCTCTTGTCCTAAATGTGATGCACTGCAGTGGAGGTACATGTTCAGTGGCATTTGTCCGCTAAGGGGTGATATGTACAACAAAGTCACATAGAAGAGGGACGAGTGATAACTGACGAAGAATACGCGGAGACTGATCATTCGGTCTGACAATGCAAGTGACAAATATGGTGATGAATAGGGCCTAAGCGAATCAAGTGAGGTTTCGTGAAACTTTAGCACGAATCTAGGAGAGTCTGGTCAGGATGATCACACACGTGCGATGTAGAATGGGAAGCTCGGGATGTAGAATTTATACGAACTCTAAAGGAAGGTATGTGGCACACGAACGCAAAATGCAGATATGGTCCAAAAATGGGGACAAAAAGACGGAAAGTAATCATTGGCGCTTACTTGGGGAAAGCAGACTTGTCGCCTCCTGTGCGGCGCCTCAGCTCACGTAGCGTGTACCGCTCCAGTTCCGGATAGTGAGTGGCTGTCCAGGAATTCTGAACAGAATTGATCTGGTTGATGAATGAGAGGTCTGTTCGGTAAAATTGATCGAGATCAACGCTATCAGCGTTGCCAACTTTGGATTTGTGCACGATCCTATTAAACAAGTAGGGACAGAAGATTGATCGTATAAATGATGTGTCAACAGATTCAAAAGATCACTGATGCGAGGTGAGCTAGATTCATTAACTACTGGAGGTTGATATGGACTACGTGGAAAACATCGATCTGGTAGTTTTCAATCGGGAGACAGCACAGTCAGCTCAAGATAGAGTGGTTCCACTATTAGGGATGCACTGGTTTTTCGGAACGTAAAGTGTAGTTGGAGGACCACCAAGAATTCTGCAACTGGTGACGAGGAAGCTGGGATAATTTATTAATTCATGTATCTTGGAAGTACCAACAGTCACATCAATAGACGCGTGGCTGTAGAATTCAGAATGTACTCATGCGTGTGTCTGGCTATGATGATAGAAGGGATTTTTATTTGATTCTAAAAGCCGTGTTACTGAGACACAGGGCCATCTACGGTAGTGAGACATGGTACTTTTGATTTTAGGTGCCTTGAAGTTTTGGTCATTGTTGCCCGCGGAGCACCGCTTGTGCTTAGTCGCCCCAGAGTGTCCGCAACGGTGAGATGAGCATGCAAGTACTAGACGATGATGATCAGGTCCCCAGATCAACAAATATGAGTGCATTCGCCTGGGTACGTGCTACGCGTGTCAGCTCACTAGTTGCCAAGGAGAGCTCTACTCTGCTTAGTTGCTGTAGAATGCAGTTAGGCCCGTCGGGGCAAACACTCACCAAATAGCAGGAAATGAAGTCGTTGACTGGAGTTGTTGATCCAGCTCCCCTTCGAGATTGGAGCTCTCCATGCGATTCACTCTGTGCTTGATTCAAGACCCTACAGGACATGACTCACTCCCGGAATCAGTAGCGCGTTTGCAATAGTCTCCTAGCCAGACTGGCTAGTTCAAGTGTCTGATTCCGAGTCATTCCGTAGAATGAGACCGATTGCGAGTGACGATGAAAATCGAAGAGGGGCTGTCCTGCTGACGTGGACTTAAATCTAAAAGATATGGGCAATTATTCGTGACCGTGCCTTTTTGGCACGGCGTAGGCGCCTTGTCCTTGAAGATTCGCCAAAAGCATTTAGAGTTTCCATCAAGTTCCCCTTTTCTCCCCTTCTTAGTAGTACTCCTTAACAGGACGGGGAAACATCAACACAAAGCATCGGTTTTTGGTGGGATGCTCGAACTTCATCGAACTAACGATCTGATGGTAGACCAATTGCTCAGACATGTGAGCCGCTGCAGTGATCCCGCTGACCGTTCGTGCAGAAACATTGTCAGCAGTGATTTGCTAGTTTGAGAAACGTTTCATCAGGCAAATTCGCCTAGACGATAGCGGTAAAACAATAACATCTGTCCATGTGACTATCATACCTGGTACCAGATATCACTAACATCGTAGCGTTCAACAGCAGAGCAGCTCAAAGCCACCGCAGCTTAGTCCCCTGAAGGTTAACTTTCAAACCATTCACTTACGACAAGGAGAGTAAGTGCGCTGAAGGCATCGGAACGCAGTACCGATGCTTCGCTGCCGCGCGACCACCAGCAGTCGCGCGTGGGCTATGGACACTGCGAAAGTCGCCCGGTCCTCTACGCAAGCTCGAACCCGCGCCCTCGGATTACAAAGTAGACTTGTGATCCTTTAGGCTGCAGATACTTCATGCTATTTCTGGAATAGTGAGATGTAATAGCGGTAGATGTACAATATCCCAGTAAAATCACACATCCCCTTAGATTGCGGAAGTTCGAAACTTATTCCCGAGATGACAGAAGATTGAAAACGCGCTGGACTTCACGGCCACAAGGATTGCCAAACAATCGGGTGGAATGTCTTAAGCATTTCCGAGTCGATTCCCCCGGGGGCAACTCCATATTACATGCATCTGGGTTATCAAAGCTGAGTCCAGCGGGGATTCGTCGCGGCCGACCACACTGCCAACCTTGTGATGCACATGAGAGTCGAACAAAACTAATCCAACTCTGAAGCGTAACACGGCCGGTCAGGTTGGCAGTGATACACGACAGAAGTGACCGGCATTTGTTATCGCAAATATACAATTATCTTTCAGTCTGAACCAAGGCGGCTTGGGACATGTAGAAGACAAGTGAAGGTGGCCACACCCATAAGCCATACACACACAAGCTCCGAGATGACTACTTACAGATAGGGAAAGCGGTGTTGTCTTTGGATGCCCCTATCTGGGCCAAACTTACACGTTGAGCGAAGCACACCTAATGCGGGTTTCTTTATCTGAAGCAACCACTACAGACGATTTTCGACACTTATGCTATATACAACGATACAGAGGAACACAACGTCAACAGGCTCACTGGCCAATTCATCAGTAATGCTGCGAAGGTCAGTCTGAGGACACAATGCACCGATCAAACTGTGTATACCTGCTCGCTGAGTGACTGCAAGAATGCTGGAATGTGGGCTTTGGTTCACCCTCAAGTACCAATGGCTCAGAACTGAATACAAGGCGATAAAGAGAAAAGTCACTTCACAGTGTATTGCGAAGTGAACAAAATCGATCTTAGATCAGTACTCAGACAAACCGAAAGCGGGTTATCTTATCAATGCTTGCTAACCAGTTTCAATTGTAGACTGTAACAAGATGTGAGTTGACAAAAGAAGTGATTTACCGGACCACGGCTTAAAAGACAAATGTACCGAACAGCTGCGGGAAGTGACTAAGTGGAACAGCTCAGCTGAACCAGGATGAGGAGTTGATTGCACTTTGGAAAGAAAGTGTACTGAACCGCTGGAATCCGGAGTGCGCGTGTGTAAATAACAACTTGAGTCCATAGTTAAGTGGTAGAGCATTTGCGGTGTGCAGTACAAAAAGCAAGGAAACAGTGAGAGAAGATGGGATTTTTCGACACAACCGCAACTGCTTGGTAAACACAGTACGTGAGGTGCACCGTGAAAAAAATTGGATTTTGTGCAAAGCTGTTAGCATGTGTGTGGCACAGCGCTGAGCAAAGACACGTGACAATGATTTTCTCCGTCTGTGCGGAGTATTCACTTGCGGTTATGAGGCGGACACTCCAAAATCTAACAGATGATATGCATGGTTGCTGAAAAAATTGAATACATTACGAAGCCATCCCTCCCTACGACGCATTGACCATCGCTGGTGATCCCATCGGCTGCAAGTGCGACAGTCTGTTTTTAACGGAAAATGTCCTAGATTTGCAGCACACCGTTTGACAAACCCAGGCAGCTCGCGGATATTTCATGTTATATCAGGAATAGTTGGGTGCGATAGCACCATCGCCTGCAGATGTCTAATATCCAAGTAAGATCTCGTATCCACTTAGATTGCAGAAGTCTGAAAACTATTCCCAAAATCCTAGAAGCCCATAAGGGCCTGGACTTCACATCCACACGGATCATCGAACAATGCATAAGGCATATCGTCTGGAAGGATATGCTGAAGCGGATATTTATCGTGCGTCCTCATAGTAATAAAAAACGACCGAAGCTAGATCGATCGATGTGCCCTTCGGGATTGTCTATTCAGGAAAAGTGTGCCCGAGAAATATGTAAATATTATCGCTATACGCGCGTAGCTCGGGTAGAGTGAGAGCTTACGGCAAGTTGTCGCCGCCCTTCAATATCTCCAGCAGTGTAAGACAGAGATGCCCGCTGTCACATCTTCTCGACAACTTTACTGAAGTATCCCTAATACCTTCACGTCATAGTGATTCCTGGGGACTTTAATATACCACATATTGTGTGGCACAACCAATCTGCACCGCCCTGGTGTACCGGAAGTTTGTTGACACTAATTTGGCAGAGGGTTGGACACAACACGTATACTCCCCAACCAGGAAATCCAAGATTCTCGATCTAAGCTTTACAAATGGCATCTGCGACGCTCGCTCCAGAGTGCTTGACTACATCCCCGGCTGTGACCACAAAGTGGTGAAGCTGTCGATCAAATTGGTCAAGGTGGACTACTGTAAGACCACAACCTGCACTCATACCCGTCCACTCCATCGCATTAACTGGGAAGTCTTCTTACTTCTTCGATTAGCAAACTGGAACTCCTTCTTTCTGGAAACTGATGACTGTAGCGCCCAAAAGGATAACTGCTATCTTTTATATACTATTTCATTTTTGACCAATTGTACATTATTCTTTCTTATTTTAATTTCCTTTACAACCGGCTCGTCATTTGACCGTCTTGTAAGTTTCCGCACTAACGTATTGTTGCTGTCTCGCTTCATCCGTCCGCCTCTTCTTGTAGCCCATCGAATACAGTTCGCTGTGTCCGACTCCAATTGCCTTCTGATATCTGCACTTAATTTCGCGCACCGTCTCGGACTAGTATTTATTGTCCTACAAATTGGTGATCCCGATTCGCACGCGCGAATTTAAACTTTTTTCGTCCTTTGTATTTTTTGGTGAGTTCGTTCCTTTTTCTCGATTATGTACGTTACTTGTTTCTTGCGTGATTTTAGTAGTTTCTTCGTACTTTTGTTCATCTTCGATTTTTTCCATTCACATTTCGATAATGTCATCTGAGTCAGCTCACAGCGTAAACATGCTTAAGTTGGCTGTTCCAAGTTTTATGGAACACAGCCCAGAGGTTTGGCTTGAGATATTTCAAATCGAACTGGAAAATAAGGGCATTAAGACGGACCGTCCGAGGTACAATCAGCTCGTCCCACGCCTTCCTTCGTCGGTTGTGACGCTGGTTGAGGACTTTCTACTCTGCCCACTGAATGAAGTAAAGTATGAAACGATGAAGCAAGCGATTCCAAAAGGGTTACAGCCCAGCGCACGAGCTCCTTTTGAACAGCTCAATGATCTCAAGCTAAGAGATCGCAAGCCGTTGACGTTGCTCCGCAAAAATCAGCGCTTCGTTGGTCCCTTATTCTTGAGCAAAGATAGAATAAAGGAGCTGCGGTTTGCAGATCTCCCAGAGTCATTGCCGGTAATGCTGTCCATGTTTCTGGATATGCCCTTGAAAGAACTAGCTATCAAGGCAGACGCTGCGTTCGAACGTCTTCCGCAGCAGACGACCAGTAGCTCCGGTGACGTATTCTCACCGATGAAAACCGAGTCTCATATTTGCTCCAAGTCGTCAGGCCGATCTGACCCTAAAGACGAGGAAATTGCGCTACTTCGCAGCAGACTAGCAGCAATGAAGGCTTCGAAGCAGCGTATGCCACGGTCAGATGCAGACCACGTTTTGGCTACCGTTCATTGCGGCTCGTCTGTGCCTGCACCGAGTACGTCTTGTTCGACAAAATAGCGCAGCATTTTCTCTGCACGTTCTCAGTCCGACAATACCAAATCCGTCGAAGAATTATGTTGGTATCACCGCCAATATGGTGGAAGAGCTAGACGTTGTCGGGCTCCCTGCATTAGGCACGACTCAGAGAAAGCGAATAGCCTGCATACTAGCACGACCAACGCATCCGTCAATAACCAAACAAATCGCCTGTTTTACGTTAAGGATCGACGTTCTTCCATCACGTTCCTCATCGACACGGGAGCAGAAGTCAGCGTCATCCCTGCGAACGCAAACGACAAGCACTCAAAGCCTACGTACAACCTGCGTGCGGCCAACGGTTCTCCGATAGCTTCATTCGGTCAGCGCATGATGAACCTGGACTGCAATCTCCGCCGAGATTTTCAGTGGATCTTCATGGTTGCATCTGTACGCTTCGCAATTATCGGTATCGATTTGCTTTGGAATTTTGGGTTGCTTGTTGATGCTGATCGCCACAGACGTTTAGATGATCGCATTAAATTGGGGGTTGAAGGCGTTCTCACGGAGGTACCGATGATCAGTCCCGTTTTCCGAATCGCCGACGTACCTTCAGATTATGCGAAACTACTGTCTGAATACCCGCGACTGGTACGACCAGCTGTAGAGCTTCCGCCAGTCAGGACGGAGGTCGCTCATCACATTGTCACGCGCGATCCGCCAACGAGTTCACGACCAAGACAACTAGCCTCCGACAAACTAGGTGCCGCAAGAGCTCAATTCGACCACATGCTTCAGCTCGGTATCATAAGACCATCCAACAGCCCATGGGCGTCACCTCTCCACATGGTTCCGAAAAAGACTATGGGGGACTGGCGTCCTTGTGGCGATTATCGATCTCTAAACAACGTAACCACGCCTGATCGCTATCCGATCCTACATATCGTGGACCTCACCGCCAGTCTGGCAGATAAACGTTTTCAGTAAAATTGACTTGGTGCGCGCATACAACCAAATTCCGGTAGCCGAAGTGGACATCGCTAAAACTACCGTGACGACTTCATTTGGTTTGTTCGAGTTTCTGCGCATTCCATTTGGTCTAAAGAATGCCGCACAAACTTTCCAACGTTTCATCGACCAAGTTTGTCGCGGCCTAGACTTCGCTTATGCCTACCTCGACGACATCTTAATCGCGAGCTCCTCACGCGAGGAGCACTTGCGCCACGTTCAAACGCTTTTTGATCGTTTATCTCAACACGGGGTGACGATCAACGCAGAAAAGTGTTCTTTTGGTGTCGATTCGGTCAGTTTTCTCGGCCACCATATCTCTCCTGCAGGCGTCGTGCCACTACAGGATAAAACTAAGGCCATCATCGACTACCCCGAGCTTCACACTTTCAAACAGCCAAGACGCTTTGAAGGTCTTGTCAACTTTTATCGCCTTTTTGTACCTATTTGCGCTTCACTTATGCAACCCCTCACGGACCTTCACCAGGGGAAGCTTAAGAAATTCGACTTTCCTGCTGCAGCACGCGCCGCCTTCCAGACTTTGAAAGAAGCTATCGCCAACATAGCTTCTATAGCACATCACCCGGCAGCCCCACTGTCGCTCAGTACCGACGCTTCTGACGTGGCAGTTGGGGCGGTCTTACAACAAAAGGTAGGTGACGCTTGGCAGCCGTTGTCATTTTCTCCAAACGTTTGCAACCTGCCGAATCTCGTTACAGTACTTCGGTAGAGAACTATTAGCCATTTATTTATCCATACGTCATTTCCGACATGTCTTAGAAGGCCGCTCCTTTGCCGTCTTCACCGACCACAAACCCCTGACTTACGTGCTTAGCTCGACTACCGACCGATACTCTCCTAGAGAGTCGCGCCACCTAGACTATATCGCTCAGTTTACGACCGATATACGACATGTCTCAGGTGTGCACAACACTGTCGCCGACGCACTTTCCCGAATTCAAGCGATCTCCGCTGACGCCGGCACCGCCGTTGGTTTTACAACCATGGCCGCAGCGCAACTCAATGATCCTGAGGTTGATATACTACGCAGGTCTCCCTCACTGGACATACGACCCGTTCCGCTGACATCATCAGACGGAACTATACTTTGCGATTTATCTCTGGGCACGCCGCGCCCAGTCGTCCCACGCGAGTTTCGGCAGACTGTGT